TCGGTTCAGTCTCAGATGCCGAAAAGGAAAGGAAAAGGTTTTTGTAACTGAAAAATTCCTATTTAAGTATCAAGAACAAGGGACTAGTGTTAAACATTTGTTTTCCTTACTTCATCGTCATACCTGTACAATCATATGATCAGAATAGCAAAGGGCGTAACAGTAGATTCGATCAGTCCAAATGAACCTGCATCATCTTCAGACCAGGGGTATAAACCAACAACCAAAGTAAACGATACGCGCAAACTAGTGCAAAGAGTTAATCGAACGATTGTAGCTGGCCTCAGAATCATCCGTCATATCTGGCCAGGGTAGCTTAAGAGCTTCGATCAGTTTCTTTTGTGCACACAAAAGCGGTTGATACAACCGAATCCTGATCTCGTCAGCGCTAGCAAGGGTGCGGAGGCGCAAGCCTTTCGACTGAAGTGGAGGAACCCTGTATAGACACGGATTGGGTCGACTTCATGCCCACTACCAACAAGATGAGCCATAACAGAGCCAGTTATAGCCTCCGCACCACCTCGACGCAACCAGAGCGTAAGGCGCTCATTAATGCGCTTCCACAGGTGCCGCGACTTTCGACCGATGTGATTGGCACCACAGACGCACTTGAACTGATAAGTAACCATATGAGCAATCAGCGTCGGCAACTTGCCTTTGTTGTGAATACGAATGAGCGGCTCCGTTGAGAAAGTACACTTAAGCTTAGCAGCTAGGAACGTACTTCCGCAATGACCTCCAATGTGAGCTCGTAGAGGATCCGGTCAGCATGGCACAAGATTCCTTTTGGTTCCGTCTACGTTTGAAAGGCGACGACAATTGCTTAGTGGCGGTCATTTACCGTACTCCTTCCTCCACACCTGAGTTGGACTCCCATCTGGTATTCGCAATAATGAGGGTGCTAAACACAACTTCAGTCACCTTTTCGTTACTAGCGATTTCAACATCCACGTTCTGGAATCCCAAGCAACTCCCGGAGAACAGTTTAAGGCCGAGCTACAAGAGTTCGTCTCCAGTTACCCGCTGTATAGTCACATCAACACTCCCAACCGATTCCGAGGAAAAGCTAAGCCTTCGATACTGGATCGAATATTTATCAAGGAAGAACTAATGGTCGAGAGTGATCGCCGACGTCCCATCGGGCCGCAGCGATCATGCAGTCATACTCTTCGAATACATTTCCTACGCAGAATATCCCGTGGAAAATGCCGACTCAAGGAGAACGTATATACGCTACGACATATTAGCTCGACTTGGTGAGACGGCCAACTGGACATTTCTGATAGACGCGGCATCAACTAGTGCATGGTAACACTTGGTTATCCAGTTTAACTCTTTTGTTACTGAAGCGTCAGCGACTAAAACCTTCCACCCGAGAAAGGTGGTTTCGTTTCTGCGAAGCAGGACACCCAAGTGTATAGTGGTGCGAAACTCAGCCTGGCATATCTACAAACTCTCCCCTAGCACCGAGAACTGGATGGCCTATACCACCCACTGTACTCAGCGTGTTCGCGAAGATAGAATGGCGTGCCATCAGAAGTTGGCAGTTCGTATGGCCTGATATCGCGATCAACGCGTCATCAGTCTACTTAAGGTGAAACGGAAAACTCCTCTGCAAACGGCGGATAGACCCACACGGACACTGAAGGAGGCGGCGAGTACCTTGCGTCTACAATATGCTGCAACATTTCACTGCGATAACTGGCGACCTAACCCTATGAGGATGGTTGCTTTACCCCCAAAACGCATTCACATATCTTTGACAACAGAACTTGTACTAAAAAATCAGTTGTGTATGCGCAAGCACATCTCTTCTGGAGTTGATAATTTGCACACGAAATCGCTAGCGGCAGTAGGAGAGAGTTTAGCTAATCCTTTGGCTCAATTCTTCCAACATTATTTTGACGAAGCGTACATACCCGACATATGGAAACACGGGATGGTTACTTCTATTCACAAGGGAGGTAGTCGTTCCAATCCAGCCAACTACCGTCCCATAATCTTACTACCGGTTTTTTCATGGGTCATGGAAGCTATTCTTTCTGATGCGCTAACGGTCTACTTAAAAGAATTTAACTACCTCGAACCGGAACAGCATGGCTTCCGACGAAATCGATCGTGCACTACAAATCTACTACTAGCCCGATCCAGCTGGACTGAAGCAGTATACTGGCACAGGAGTTGTAGTCTTTCTTGATTTCACAAAGGCATTCTACCGGTTAGACCATAACATTATGCTTCTCAAACTCTGCACCGGCGCCTGGAAGTACATGTGCGTGAATCTCTGTCAGCTCTTATCCGAATTGAATGCAGAGTACGACAGTGATCGGTACTAGGACCGCGATTATTTTCGGCGTATCTAGACGATACCACACGCATCATCAGCTCGAACTACCTACTTTATGTCGACGACATCAACGTGTGAAGGGCAATCAATACACCAGATGATATCACAGTACTTCAAGCTTGTCTGGATAAGGTATACGCGTGGTCAATCAAGAATCTACTTCGATTCAATCTGGACAAATGTAGAGTGCTGCACCTACGGCACAATTTGGTGCACTCCTACAAACTCGGCAATCAGGAGTTTCAAACCACTTCTGGCAAGAAGGACCTGTGAGTTTTGGTCCAGGTTGACCTTAGCTATTCCAAACAGGCTGAAACGGCGCCTAGGAGGGACATCAAACATGTGGGTATCCTGAAGCGTGCATTTGGACGATTCGACCCATCGATTTTTCCACAGCTTCTCGCCTCATACATACGGCCACCTGTGTAATACGCAATACAGGTCTGGCAGCCATTACCGCGATCTCACCGCCTCGCCGGACAACCAAGAATGTCAAGGGTCTGTATAACTTGTCACATGAACGAAGGCTATGACTGCTCGGGGTCTTCAGCGCATGGTATCGGCAATTGCTCGTTTAGATCAATTGACTTATTCAATTTTGTGAGATCCCAACCACACGTGCCGCTACTTACTAGAGCTCAGTCACAACATCAATTTGAGAGGCCATCCTCACAATCTGGCACAGCAGAACAGTCGCCTAGATTGCAGTCGGAACTTCCTTTCTATATGCGTTTACCGTACGTGAAATGCCCTACCGGAATCTGTTATATGTACTCCCACGCTAACTGAGTTCAAAGCCCCAGTTGACCGTGCACTTATTTCGCTGCACCATCTTACATGACCCATTACCCATGGATAAACACAAGTGTCTGTAAGCGATTTCACTGGCGGTCACATCACAGATTTTGTTTTCCACTATGTGTGCACCAAAAGGAGACACGATTTTTACCAACATCTCATTTGCCCTTACTTCTTGTGGATTTACCTTGCATGTACAGTCTATAGTACGTATATTTCAGTGGGTTCACTAGTGTAAACCCAATTTTGCTAACAATTTTTTTAATATTTTGTAGTTTCACTATAACCATTCTACGGGACGTGTTAAGCATTAGTTTTTTACCTATATTAAACCATTGTTCCATTGTTGACCCAACAGCTGTTTCACGCTCTTCTGTTGTATCCCTCTTGTAAGGTAACCTTATAAAAAGTTCTTTACTCTCAGCTGTTGGAAACTGCATCTGGTTTTTGCATATACTTCTAGTAATCTAACTCATACAGAAATTTCATACTCCGCTGGTGAATGAGAGTTCCTCGTTTGTGTTTGGGCTTGTAAAAGGGGCACCTATGCCTGTTTGGTTCGGGTATACACTGCATTTAGATCACGCTGCTCTAACCACCCGATTCAGTCGCTGAACCAATGGTCACAAGCCACTGCTGATGTACTCACTCATCAGCCAAATAGGTTCATTTGGCTCCGCGCCAAAGATTTTTGCAAGAACTAAAACGTCTTGGGCGATATAGTAAAGGTTGAGGAGCCGACTGAGTCAATCAAGTTATACTTGTTACTCAAAATCCAGTGGTCTGTGGATGTGAACCATCCCAATGCCGATTCACGCTGTGTTTAGTGGAGAGCATTACGCATCGACCCTAGACAAGCTATTGCCGGTATTACCAAGTGTGAAGTTTATCGCAAAGGTCAACTTCCCCATGTTTTAGCATATAGTATTAGACGATAAATCGAGCTTCGTATTCCTTGCATGATCTTGCGCTGAGCACTGATTGACAAGTGTCAAGGCACTGTGACCATTAAGTGAAGTATTGCAGTGTCAAACTGTAATTTAATCATTGCTGTCGCAACTTAACCAAAATACTATACTGTGAGGCCGCCAACTAGAGTTGGCCACACAGTACAACCGGTTAGAATACCAGTGGAAATTCTTATCTCTTCGTGTTTAAAAGCCATGAAGCGTCCTCCCTATGTGTGTTACCTCCCCTCTCATACTACCGATATTCAACAAATGTTCTGACCTTATGGCAATACATTCCATTACAACCTCAACCGAACATAATCAGCGTACTCGGTTGAACTTCATTATTGCTCATCCAAAACTTGCTTTATTCGGTTGATATTGCATCTTTTTACGAATTATCCACTCTTTTATCCTATGGGATTTTTTGGGCATTAGCGCATTTTACCCACGACAGAACGCCGTCTGCTGTAAACAAAAGTACCAAATTTCGCCGCATTCAGCGGTAGGTGAAGATAGTAACTGCTCATTCAATATGACCTTGTATAACTACATACCTCGGATCGTTCATGCAGTTTTTCCAAGACTATTAATGATACACCATCTGTCTGTAAAGAGAGAAATAGTTACTTTGTATTGTCTCGCAGAGTATCTGGTATGTTGGCTGGCGCCGTGGTACCAGCGACTTACGATAGTGGTATACTCTAAGCTGAGATTCAGTTATTGTAGCGAGATTTTATTAGTTCAAGGGCTTGTCTTCGATGCAAAATTCGATCAGGAAACCTGAATAAGGAAATCAGAACAGATAGGCATTTTGTGGAAGGGCCATAGTAGAACTACAATGGCTGCTAAACGACAGTGATGGCTCTGGACTAGAGGCGCTTTCTAGAAAGTGAATAAAAGGTGGATCAGAAAGATGATTATATTGGGCGTTTACATCGAATTGGACAAGAGGCCAGGGAAACTCAATCGCCTCGTATTTTAGTGCTTGTTATCAGAGGCAAACTCATGAAAAGTAAGCCTTTATAGCCAACCAAAAACTACTCCGAACTGAGTAGATTTCCGCGATAACACGCAAATGACAACAACTTAAATTCACTTGGTCAGATTTACGCAGGATGATATCCCAAGTCTAATGCACTAAAGCAGGCCTTCTTATTGTCATTCGGGGCGGATTTAGGACTGAGTTGGGTGGCATCCTTGATGATTCTGTCGCATAAGACATGGTGCCAACATCCGATGGACATGTTGTACTCTCGGACACGTCTTCAGTGAGTGAATGACCGAAAGATAATTGCTGGTCCCTTGACGGACGCCAGCATCGGCGGTTCAGTTTACTCTTGTTTGGTGTGGATAATAGAAAATTCGCGTTTCTGTCACCTGCCAAACCGATTTCCCGGTAGTCACGTTCGATGGAGGCCAAAGTTTCTCGAGCGTCTACCATCTCTGATTCCTCAAGGCCCTCGTTGAGAAACCAATGGACAAAGCAGCGGCGACTAAACATCATGTCAAATTTGGCACTGACTGTGGTCCAGACACTACGAATTGCCGAAGTATTAACAAGCATGGTTACAGAACAGTCGGTAGGCGCGATGTGGGAATCGTGGGCCATGAAAACTGGTGGTTGGGCAACCAAGTTGACTTTGACTCCTGTCGGACACCAGTCAACAAATTCAAAATGCGGAGTCCCCTTTATCCTTGCCAGAGCGCTATTCACAAGGCGAGGACCAACGAGACCACGAAATGATAAAACGCATGCCATGAATTTGCCACGATATAAATCACACTTGACCGTTTGACCAGAAGTGCTGAAAACTTGCTGAACCAATTGGTCTATACTGGAGGCCTGCTGAGTCGAACGTGAGTAGTGCAAAAACGGTGCGTGTCTTAGCACAGGGAAGTGTATTCTGGGGAATGGAACCAGATTTGTTTCCAGCTCAGGCAGACCAGCTGTTAGACAACCAGGATATCGAACTGGTGATAACAACGAGCTGGTGAGAAGTGCTATAACTTGGTTCATGGTATGGTATGTGGGCTGACGGTGCATCAAGCTTCGCTGACACAGTTCACCAATCGCCTCGTTGTCCATCATGGCCGACAGCTTGACCGCATCAACAGCCTGGTGTATATGAAGTACCGTGTTGTAAGGCTCCACAATTGTGTTCGCCTGTTGTGGGGAGGGGTAGATTGGCAACTGGATGATGCTGTATTTATCGTAATCCGCGATAAGGCATTGGAAAATGTACGCCGTTAACCCACCACCGGTTCCACCCGAACAGCTATGTGTGGCAATGAAGCCCTGCAGGAGGTCCGTGTGCTCTGCAGCCTTGCGAATACGCTCCATGACCTGCAGCAGAAGAAACAAATGTTACCATTCATACTTTCGAAGTATTAAGCATGTATCTCTACAAAATTGCTTTTGCCTGAACACTTTCACGCATGATGCTAGATGAAGCAAAATAGTTGAACAAACAGTCGGGCTGTAGTAAATCAAGCATGTGCAATTTTTTATTGCATTGTACGGGCAAGACAAGTCCTCATGTGATTGACTGAGCCAATGAGCACCGATGAAAATATCATCTCAGGTGAGTGGATATTCAACTGTTACTGCCAAGACGTTCGTAGCAGTTGTTGTGTTTTCCTTAGTCATAAATACGAGTCGAAGGCCTATAAGCATTAGCACAGAAGTTGGGCGCTTAAAGAAACACGAGGCGCCAAAAGGTATAGATATATATTTTTGCGAACCGAATATACGCGTTAGCTTCAAGAGAAAACTATAAACGTAGTAGAAGCAAATGAACATCCTTCGGTGTTTCACTTAGATAGCAAAATGTTCCACATGCACATGCAACTTGTCTGATGGTCTGTATCACCGATCCTTGACAATGAATGCCGATATGAGACGACCGTTATGTTTCACCCAGTCAAGACTGAAGAGTGGAGCGAAGTGCAGGCCCAACCTGCTTTGTGCCAACTTGATGGGACGTGAACAGCCAAATCGATCACCAGAAACGGGCACTTATTGCACGAGCGTTCATTTGTTACTATTTATGAGCGGTGTCTCCGGCCGACAACTAATGACGCGTGCAAAAGTCGACCGGGGAGCCTACATTGAATGTAAATCATGGCCTGTCGTATCCTGCACTCGTCGGCAAATGTAATATAAACTACGCATTCCGTTGCATGGGTAATCGTGCCCCAAGACCACACTCTCTCAGAATGAAGTTTCTGTGTTTGGAAACGTTCGCAGCAATTATACTTCACTAATTCTTTGATATTTCCGTCTGATGCCTCGCTCGCAACCTCTCACCGCTGTTAACTTTCTCAACGGCAGTATGGGTCACGGCCACTATATCTATCTATCTATCTATCTATCTAACGCATTTTAACGCTGGGATCGCCAATGGTTAACCGGACAGGAAGGAGATGCACTTGCCTTCTTATAAGTGAATTAACAGCTGTAAGCTTTAGCAACTGCCTTGCATCTTACAATCTTAGGCGGTACAAATGGAGCCACGCAATGGCCGCGTTATCAATTTTGATGCTCAGACAAGGGACCTCAATGCACAGAGACTAATTAGGAGGCGCGATGACTCACGACTTGTATTGCTTAATTCGTAGAAAGCGATCCTGTATGCTTCATTACTCACGTTACACAGTAACTACTACTGCTGGAAGGATCCCATAACAGCCAATTATGGTCATTCGCAGTGCTAACGATTGCGCGGCTCCTCACTGATCCCCAAACCACTACAGGAATAAAACCGTAAGCAACAATCTGTTATGAACTTCGTAGAAGGAAACATTAAAATATTGCTCATCCCAACACTGGCACCTCAGTTGGGGTGCCAATGTTGGGATGACCAACACTATAATGTTTCCATACTTACGGTGTTTGTGATCGGAATGATCGAGGTCCACCAAAAGTGAATCGAGGTCTCAACACAAGTGGCTTGTAGCAACCCAACCACCAGCGGATTCTCCAAGTCTAACTTTGAATTCGTAGAAGGATATTTACCACTTCACTCACCTGGTCTATCATTTTCTTGCCTATTGTAATATTTCCGCGCGCAAAATTGTTGGAGCAATCCTCATTGTGGGTCACCAGATCGTGTGGATGGAAGAGACACCGATACATACCGTTGCGTACTTCATCTATGGAAAGGGAGCAATCGATATGAAGGCAATTGCCATAATGAAGCAGACTAGCTTTTCCATAGGTAAAACAGCGATAGCCTAAACTCATTTTACCGTACAAAGAACAAAAGTTCAGCTTGACTCATAACTAGTAGCGTTGCTGTAATGCGTACTGCGACTGTTCGCACTGTACTGTTATGCCGATGCGAGACTTGCGCCAACTGCCCGTTTCGAGCACCACTGCTTGCGCCCCGTTGTCCGCGTGTGGTGGCTGTACCATGTGAATAATGTGGAAGATAAAAAGCGTGTCTTGGGACGAGGCAGCCACTCCCTTGAGGAGTTCGTCTCACTGCATTGACTGCGTTGATGAGCGGGGTCTCCGGCAGACAGCTAATGATGCGTGCAAAGTTCGACCGGGGTGCCTACATTAAGTTTAACTCATGGCCTTTCGTATCCTGCACTTGTCGGCAAATGCAATATAAACTACGGATTCCGTTGCTTGGGTAATCGTGCCCCAATGAACAATGATTTATCACGGGATAAAAGCAAGTGCTTGACACGTCCCGTAGGATGGTTGCAGTGAATAAGATGAAATCGAAATATATGTGGGTCATTTACCGAAGGTCTACCGTGATGAATACTTGGATAAATAACATCAGTGTGAAATTAAAAAATCGTGCGTAAAAGTTCAGCAACACACCGGGGTGCATTGATCGTTGATATAAGTGGTGAAAAAATTAAAATATGGTCGCTCACTTGCGTCCATTTGATACATAAATCCTGTAGAAAAGCATGCTCGTCGTAATCCACAATAGAGGAGTTTAGGTAACAAAATGCTTGGAGTTAAGAGCAACATCTAATCGTTTTTTGTAAACGTCCAAAGTAGAGGAGGATACAACTGAGTTTGGGAGTGCGTTTCAGGGTTTGCAAACCCGAAGAGAAAAGTAATTACGTCGACACTCTAGACGGCTATATTGTTCCTTCCATTTTAAGCAGATCCCCCTGAGCTGCGTGTTGTGGCTAAGTTTCAGCAAATGGCGGCATACGTGGTAAGGGCCACTCAATATGAGATCACCGCGCAGCCTTCGATAGCGTCCGCTGAAAATCTCCAGCAACTTCAGCCTTCGGTTGTAAAAGTGATAGCGCAGGCCCTTTACATTCTTTGTGGCTCTTCGTTGAAGTGCCTCTAACGCCTCTAGGTCACGCTTCAACCAAGGTTGCCAAGCTTGGATAGCGTATTTAACATGCGGGCGCACGTAGGAATTGTGCATCATTGGAAAGATTGATGGGTCAAATCTCCCGAATGCCCTTTGCAGCATGCCGACCTGCTGGTTGCTTCTTTTCGCAGCTACTTCAGCCTGTTTTGAACAGTTGAGCTCGCTGTGTACGATCATACCAAGGTCACTTTCCTGGGAGCTGGTCTGCAATCCGTTTATCCCAAGCAAATATGTGTGGTTATGTCTATGACATATTTGTACAAGGCGACGTTCGTCTGCGTTGAATGGTAAGGCGTTCTGGACTGACCAGTTCGACACTGTTAAGATCGCACTGGAGCCGTTCGTCATCGTCCGGTCCTCTGATCCTTCGCCGTATCTTGATATCATTAGGAAAAAATAGGAAATCAGAAGCAATTGGTTTTGTCAACTCGTTAATGAACACCAAGACTAGACGAGATCCAAGCACCGAGCCTTGTTGTACACCACGTCGATTGCATCGGACAATGATTCTCGGACTCTCGTCGCTAGCCGTCGTTCGTATAGAAAATTGGTAATCCAACTCAGGATTGGGTCGCCAATGCCATAGTTCCGAAGCTTCTGAAGGAGAATTCGATGTTCTAAGCGATGAAACGCTTTTGAAAATTCCAGGTAGATGACATCGGCTCCTGCTCCATCATCAACAGCTTCAGTCCAGCTATTACGTGCAATTAATAGGTTAGTACTACATGAACGCTTTTGACAAAATCCATGTTGCTCAGGGGCTATTAAGTTGTGGATTTCCAGATACTGCATCACCGCGTCTGCTATGCTTGATTCCATCACTTTGGATAGTACAGGAAGTAGTGTTATTAGACGGTAGTTGGTAGGGTCAGTGCGGCTACTTCCTTTATGAATAGGAGTGATGACCTCTCGCTTCCACACTGGTGTAATATGGTTCTCTTCTAAACAACGCTGATAGAAAACAGCCGGTGCTTCTGCTGGATCACTATCTACCGCCTGCAGAGTCTTTGGTCGGATGTTGTCGACTCCAGGAGAACTGTGGATACGCAGCTTCCGAAGTGAAGGTGATGTTGTCTAAACCTGACGGTGGAGTAATAGAAACGAAGAGATTGTTTGGGCTCGTTACCAGCTGGAAGGTTTGGGAGTAATTAAGACTTAGAAGATCAGCTGCTTCCATTGCTGATCACGTGTATCCATCAGCCGTGACTAGTGCTGGGATCCTCCGCTTCACCTTTCGAAGACCGTTAACGTGCCTGTACATAGGTTTTCTGTTAGTGCAGAATCGCTTCATTAACTCCTGCTGATGCATGACCTTGTCTTCGTGGATCAGTTCCACACAGAAGTTGCGATGTGTCACGTATGCAGTCCAGGTTTCGGCAATCGAGCAGTCCTGATGATCTCGCCATGTCAAATCCTTTCGGGAAATACATTTACGTGTTCTGCTCCTCAGAAATGACTTATGCTTGTTTTTGGGTTGGAGGGACTTCTGTTCCGATGCGTGCGTTACCAGTGTGCTAAACGTCCTTGTAAAGGTTTCCCTGGCAACATCTGGGAGGCATTCGGTCAAGAATGTTCAAGATGTATCCTTAACAAGCGTAGGTAACACATTATAGTGCATAACAGGATGCCCTTTATCATTCTCCTTTTCAGCATACTCCGCATAGCATATATATAGTCAAAGAGTAGAGTAACATGATCACTACGACCCAGTGGTCAACCATGAGTTCCTCGTTAGTGAACAAGATCCAGTATCGACGGCTTGTTAGCAGTTCGAAATTTGGTGGGAGAGTTACATGGTTGTAAAGTGGGTGGCTAGCAATTAGCTCATGCAAGCAAGCTCTAAATTGTGTACCGTCGGTTGCTGGTGTCTTTATGTCGTGCACATTAAAGTCTCCAGCGATAAGAATGTGGGTGTAGGACTTGTTCAATGCAAACTGAAAGACGTGGTCCAGTTTGGTGTCCATCTCCGACGTTGAGTTTAGTGGGCGGTAAATCACGGCTAGTAGACATGTGTCCTTGTTTTACAACCATAGGCGACACAGAAGCGAATTAGGAGCTCGGATTTCCGGGTGATCGATAACTTCACATCGGAGGTTCGTATAATAGTAAAGAATCACACTGTCACCCCTTCCGGTTCTATCGGTCCGAAGCAGTGACATACCGGGTTAATTGTTCTCAGAATCAGTTATCACAAGGTCTAACTAGGTCTCTGTAAGCATGACGAGGTCCCGCGATTGTGAGGCATGGAGTTCTCTAAGTTCGGCCAAGTTACTTAGAAGGCCTTGGGCGTTATGTGTACATGCTAGATAGGGCTTTTGTTATTAGGAGTGCGTTGATGGATGTCAACTTTGTGTTAATTTTTAAGCCGGACGTTAGATGGCCGGCCTTTACTCGTTTTTTTGTTTATGAATTTCAGTCAAGTTGCATGGCATTATTGAGCGTTCTTGAACAGAAGTTTCACTTGTGCTGTGTTCCGTCCTGTTGCGGGCCGTGAGTGCTGTTGTACTGCTCTCAGCACAGAACTGTGCATATAAAGAAGTTGCAGCGTTTGCAACTTCCATCGAAATGATTACGACTCTTGGCCGATTGCCTGCCCCCTTTAGCCGGATCTCTGTTGGCAACCTGGCTCGAAACCTTAACCAGCTATCCTACAGAACTTGCGTCATTCCCTCAGAGTGTAATATTACTTTCATTAGCCTTGGACCGCAGCCCTTTTAGTTAGATGATGACGGAACTCTTGTCAGGGATTTGGCAATAACATTATCTACAGAGAGTGCTTCGCGGAAGTAGCGTCACTGCTCTCGGTCATGTGTTTGCGCATCGTGATCAGAAGCATGCAGAGACTCAGAAACACCATGAACAAATATCGTTTTCTTGCTATCCCTATTAGGAATGCCGCGTTGGTTAACTGCTTCTTTTGGGCGATCTTTCCAAGAAAGCTCGAGTAATATGCGCATTCCGCTCGGTGAGTTGCGAAGACGAACTGCTGAGAGCAGGACAGCCTCTGTCTCATCTGCTGAGTCTAGTGTTACTCAAAGAATTCGAGGTTCACCAGAATGCATTGATGTCGGATGACGCGCTACACTGTGCAGCATTGCAGGCAACCTGAATATCACTCGCATCGCAGATGGAACTCCACTGGTTGCGATCGTCTTGCAACTTGCCTTTTACGGTGCCAGATTTAGACTCGGGAACATTGGTGCACCCGGGAGTTAACGCAGCGTGGTTTTGTCTGCCGAATGTTGGCTTTATACTTTTTGCCGGCAATTCGGGTTGTTTAGAGGGCACCACTGGAGTTGACAGTGAAAGCTGCTTTGCGTCACGCGTGCTCGGTACTGAAGATGGACCTATGTGTGTCGCTCCCGCTGTGCTTGTCGAGACAATCGATGCGTACGTTACCTGCTTGTTATCTGCACCGGGTTGCTTTCAGCTCTGAGCTGTCGGTGTCATGGCCGAATCTCCAAGTGAAGCGTGTATGGCTGGAGAAGGGGAAGCAGGCATGTTTGAGGCTTGTCCTGTTATAGGAGTGAGGGGACTCAGTGGATCTAGAGTCACAGATGATGCAATGCGGTTGGACCGTCTAGCTCCCTTCTTCGGCTTAGCTTCAGAGCTTACTTTGGCTGGTTGAGCTATTACCGTGTCCAAATTTACCTCCGTGGGGTCGAGCTTAGTATTGTAGTGTACCGGAAAACACCCTCTTTCAGCATTTTACAACATTGGATTTTACGGTTGTTTTAACCTTCAAAAAGTCCACTTGTTTTACTGACTGCACATCCGTTAACAAAAAGCGTTTTGGTGTGTA